ATACAAAAGAAACAACGAATATTCAATTGAGCTCATCCTGATATATTAAAAAAAAGAAAATTGCACGGTTGTTAACTATAAAACTACTTTTTTAAATATATAAATCATAATCATGAAAAATATTGTTAATTTATTTATTTCATTTCATTTTAAATATTATCAAAGTTTTTCTTTCGTAATTTTAATGTGGCCGCGGAGAACGCGAGGGCACGAGGGGAAGACTAGGAACGGCCGCTGAGCCGGTTTTCGTAACGCGCGCCTTTACGGTCAAATGTCTCTACTGCTTTTATTTAAAAAAATAGACCCAATGTTAATCGAGACTAAATGAAGCTTATTAAATTGCGCAGTTTTTGGTTAAAGAAAAAGTGCAATAATATTATGCATAAGGAAGTTACGGCAAGGTAAGTTTGAAAAAATATTTGCCATTTGTTGCCTTTTTTTTAATATTGCTGTTTTTCTCAACTTGTTGACCAAATTTTTGAAATTGATTATATACCAAACGAAAGAAAATTGAATGAGGAATCGAACTAAAAAAAAAAAAACTTGTTCTATCTTGCTTTGAACAAAAGTTATGAAGGTTCAAATTAAAAAAAATATATTCAATATTTATCCAGTTGTTTGCCTATATCTTTTATCTGGACCAATGGAGAGTGTCGTCAATTCCCATTTCCTATGTAAAAAAAAACATGCTTTTTCAAATGGGGAAGGTCCCATTTGGTTGGAAGTCGATTTTTGTTTATGCATCCTAGAAGAAGCTATCCGACGGACTATTAACAGAATATGTTGTTGCAGTTCTTTTAGGTTATGCTTTATTTATCTAGGTATAGTTGCAATACTTTTGAATTAATGTTTTTCTTTTGTTGTTGTTCCAGGTTTAGTCAGCTAATAGCGAATAAATAATAAACGATTTGATTAAAAAAATCCTCTTTTATTTGGTTTGCAAAATGTACTTAATTAGGTCTTCAAGATGTATCATGGACGTTCTTTATGGCTCTAAGTTGTACGTCTTTAAGACGTATTATGGAGTTGACATACGACTTGCCCAATACGTCTTCAAGACGTACTTGGCTTGGCTCTAAAATCGACGTCTTACAAACGTACAGTATGTCATAACGTTACACCTTATGTACGTCTTTGGAATGTAATTGTGTTTGTTGGGTAATATACCTCTAGGTAGTTATTGAATTTTATGAAATTAAAAACAATGTAAAAATGTTGCGGCACTTATTCCGTGATAAATGCTCCATTTTCCGATTAATTTTTGCTTTTAACTTCCTCTGGGACACCACGGGCGTAAATCTTAAAACGTCAAAAGATGATGACATTCTATGATTGCCAACAATGCTGAAACGTTTCAATACACTCGGAAAAAGAAATATTATGTTCTCACGTATATGGGGATCAAATTCGAACTTTTCGTTCAAGGGTATGTGGTTCAAGGTCAAAAGACGGTGGTGTTGCCAGGGGCGTGCGGTGTCACCTGGCCGGCAAACAGCAGGGCGCGGCAAGGGTTATTCGTTATCTGGGCTGTCAAAATTGAAAAAAAAATATTTATATGGGGATTATGGGATAATGGGACATAGCGTTTAGCGTTTGTTCAATTGGATGGTGATTTCAATCAAATAATAGATATTTACGATACAAGTGAGTTAACAGCATACTTAAGATCCGCGTGTGGATTAGTGTGGAAATTGCACAACGAGTGTGTATCTCACTGACGTAGATAAATATAGATATATCATGTGTTCCTACAAAAAATGATTTCTTTGTCGGCGATGCCCCGGGATCAAGCAAAAACCACAGCAAAAACTCTACAGATAAGGGTTGAGAATTTAGTCCAAGAGCACCCAATTAAATTCATTTTGCGTATGATATTATGAATTCTATTGTTCTGGATTAAGTACCTAATTTCTTGCATTAAATATTTGAAAGATCTTTCAAGAAAATTGAAAAATAATTTTAAACATTATTTACAACAATTTAAACCGAATAATTTCAAATTAATATAATCCTGTACTTAAAGCGGTTACCCGACCTCTGCCTCCTGACTAAATGCAGGTCGGCTGATAAAGGAACATACTTTTTCGTACTTATTTCTATGTTCGCTTTTTCCTTGCTTTTTCCATACCACGGCGTCGAAAACCGTGAAGGAAACAACAAACGTCTGGCTGGCATTTATTGCTGATGAAGGAGATCTATAAACCTAGCAGTCCCAAGGTAGAAAAAAACATCAGGGACTATATAATAATTAGGCGATTTTAAGGTGCTAATTAGGGGCTCTAATTAAAAAATTAGGTGCTCCTTTAGTTTTTGAAAAAATAAAAAAATACTAAGGGACTGCTAGGTTTATGGAAGGAATTTTAAAAAATATTTTTTACTATAGGAGACTGCTAGCTTCCATAAACCTAGCAGTCCCTTAGTATTTTTTTGATTATCTCAAAAACTAAAGGAGCACCTAATTTATAATTACGGGCCGTAATTAGCACCTAATTATTATATATTCCCCGAAGTTTTTTTCCATTCTGACACAGCACCAAGTAAACGTGAAGCCAACAATTTATTATTTATTATTACTTACTTAATTAACTGATCCAAGTTTTTAGCCACTGTTATCAGATTCGTTGCAAATACACCCGAAAGTAAACGTAAAGCCAGCAGTCCCCTAATAATGAATACAAATCTGTAACTCAGTTAATAAATAATCGATTCAATTTTTGCTTCGACTATTTAGGAGCACCCAGAAAGCACTTAATTCTGATACAAAAAAAAAATTGAAAAAATATTTTTTACCAACTGCTAGCTTTCATAAACCTAGCAGTCGCTTAGTTTTTTTTTCCTGATTTTCTCAAAAACTAAAGGAGCACCTAGTTTTAATTAGAGGTCCTAATTAGCACCTAAGAAGCACCTAAATATTATATATACCCCGAAGCTTTTTCCACCTTAGGGCTGCTAGGTTTATAGACCTTGATGTAGGTATAGTATCCGCCAGAGATATTCGAGATTCTTACAAAAAAGTAGGGATGTGCCATAGACTATGAAATCTACTTTACGCGGTTTGTCTACTCGTTATCTACGTATTGTTTACATCCACTTTTTTCCACGTAGACTATGAAAACTATGTAGAGACAATGAAGACTGTAGTGAAGACAACCGAAAATTTTAAATTTGAGTTATTTTTTTGGAAGTTTGCATTGCATTTATATTGAATTAAATTAGACATTACCTGCAGTTCAATTAACTTTACGAAGCAAAAAACAAAACAAAGCAAAAACAGAAACATAACCTTGAACGCCTGACAACTGTCAAAAATAGTATTAGGCATTCCAGGATGACGTCATAACCGATCCGCCATTTTAGCTGAGGGGCAAACAAAAGCCAAACATAACCTGATTTAATGTTATTTTCAATGCAAACCGAGAATTTTTGAAGTATTATTTTGTGAAGATGCCTTCGTTTTGTGGCGTCTTTGGGTGCTCCAATAGAGCTGAAAGGGATAAAGTGAGGTTTTTTAGGATTCCAGCAGCATTTAAAGATCGAGGGGATCGCATAAACGAGCTATCAAAAAATAAACGGAGTATGTGAATTAGATGCCTCAAAAGGTGAGATTTGACTGTAACGTTGTTGAAAATGCTCGAATTTGTTCGAAACATTTTGTTAATGGTAAGTTTTATGACTGTCTTGTTGTTAAAATACAAAAACACTTCATCTCGGTATATCAAAAAAGTTGTTTATGTTTCTACGAGTACCTATATAGGTAACTTTTAATACCTTTTAGGTAGTCCAGCAGAATTTAAGGATACAAACAATCCGGATTGGGTCCCCAGTACAAATTTAGGATATACTACCATAATTGATAAAAGCCCAGAATGAACAAGCCAGTAAGCTAAGCTACATGTACATGCCAGCTCTGTGCACCAATCAGAACAGTCAAAACGTTTGAGGAGTCATTCTATCACAAATTTATTTTGCTCAAGTTTATTTGTAAGGCTGTTAGTATCAAACTTTTTTATTTTTTAAACAATTTAGATTCTTAAGCATTATTTTTGTTAATGAATTGTTTGTTTACTATTGTTGAATTGAAATGTAAAGTGGCATGTCTGTAAATAACGATTCATTCATTCATTCCATTCATTCACAAAAACTAAAAACAACTTAAAATTTATTGAACAAATCAAAAAACGCAAAAATTCCGAAGCACAAACTCAAAAAACATTGTAAACAATAATGATCTAGGCTTTGGTTGCCCCTCAGCTAATATACAACTAATATAAATACCTTGTCAAAGTCACGTGACCTGGAATGCCTAATACTTTACGCGTTGTCTACAGTCTACATATTTAACACCTTGTCTGTCTACATAGATTACATAGTTTACATTGTCTACGTATTGTTTACACCAGAACGTAGACAATCTTCATTTACGCGTAGATGCCCATCCCTGCAAAAAAGTATTATTTATATTATCAGCCGGCCTGCATTTAGTCATGGAGCACGTGCCAGGAACCGCTAGAATACAAGATTATATTGGTTTGAAATTATTCGGTTTTTAATTGTTGTAAATGTTTAAAATTAATTATCAATTTTCTTGAAAGGTCTTTCAACCTACTTAATCGAATCCTGAACATTACAATAAAACTCTACCTACGCAAAATATTAATTTAATTGATGCTCTTGGACTAAATTTATTCTCAACCCTTATCTGTGGAGTTTTTGATTTTTGCTGTGGTTTTCGTTTATCCGGGAATCGCGACAAAGAAATGATTTTTTGTAGGAATCTCGAATATCTGTGGCGGCGACTATACCCTACAATGGTATAGTACAATTTTTAAATATAAATTGAATAGGTACCTACCCTACATGTGTAAAAAATATAGTATTTTGTATTTAATATTTTAATGTATGTAGTCAATCTTCATCTCATCGGCTGAATTTGACTATTAGAAACGGGAAGCATTTAAAATCGCGACAAGTGTTCCACACATGTTCCCAAATATCCCAGCCAACAGCCGTGTTTTTAATAAACCTAGCATGCCGAGCGTAGAGAAACCCAATTATAAAAACTAAACATTCTTGCTTGCTTGAGTAATCTACGAAGATGCTATGAGCGAAGTAGCAAGTAGCCGTTCTCTGACGATTCTAGACGGTACAGTGCAGTGACTGACTGATCTTCTGTTGTGCCGTGCCCACGAGCGCGTCTGCCATCAACATTTACTGGTGAGTGATTTTTTAAGGTACCATTTTCGTTGGTCCCATGATGGCCTTTTCTGAGAAAGTTCCGTGCCCGTGTCTGCATTCATCAGTATGCCCAGACTATACGGACCGCACCGTATCTCACATAACCACAATCCACAATTTATTTGTCTTGATTTTTGTTATTTCATTTAGGTATTTAGTAGTGAAATAACCGAAGAACAATTGGGGACAACGCGATCTTATATCGCGCTGGGTTTGTTTGTGTGTTAAAGTGTTTTCAAGAGACTTTTTCAATATAGGAAACTGCATGTGCAGATATTTTAACATAAAGGAACCGTATTAATGAGGTAAATAACCTGAATGTAAACTTGCACTTTGTTTGACTTATTGCAGTGTTACTATTGGATTTTTTTTTGTGACCTACTAGGAAATTACTTACTATAGACATTTTATTTCTTTAATTTAATTGCAATTAGTATATTTGAATGCAAGTAGTTTTTTGATTTTATTGGCTTGAAGTATTGGGGGGGCGTTAAGGCTCTCGCCATCTTGATTTTAAGGGTTATTTTTTATTTCTCAGGATAGGTTAATTTGCCTTTTTTCTGGACTTTTAAAAAAATTCTTATCGTTGATTGGTCTTATCTGAGTATTCATGCTTTAATTCTCCAGGTGATTTTTATGAACCCTTAATTACAGGGTATACTTATACAGGGTGTTATTTTGTGTTGCCCGTTTTTGACATAAATGTGGAAAAGATCAAAATTGTAGAAAATCTTGAAATGTTTTTTATTCTCACTTGTGACAGATTATGTAAATCCGTCATAAAATAGCTCGTTAAAGACGTTTTATTTTACGAGAAGAAAATCAACTGTGAAATTGCAACAATTAAGTAGGTATTATATTATTTCCTGTCGTTAAGGAGCTAGTTTGTACCTACATAGGTAATAAAAAGATAATCAACTGTGAAATTGTAACAATTATTATTTCCTACATTAATGACTGAAGAAAATATTCCAGATAATCGCTTAAATTGCCATTAGAAATAGAAATGGAAGAATTGTTGTAAAAAGTTCGTACATGGCGACTCAGTTTTTGTCTTTTTTGTTATATTTTTTAAATCAAAGACAATAATTTTCTATCGCTAATGTATTTTAGTCAAGTTTTTAGTAGGTATGCTTTGTTTTCCAACAAATTAAAGTTCTAAATTTTTTTCAAAGTTTTGCACCAATTATTTGGTGAATATGTTTTGTTCTTATTGAAATTATTAATTTCTTCTGTAGGTAATCTCTTGTTAGAATTCTTGACTTTTGACCCCTAAGTATAGAAAAAATCAACTAAGCAGGACCATTGACGTCATCACTGACAAAGAAGGCAAATCTCCTTTTTTCTAGGTCCCATCTATTTTGAAGTGACACAGAGACTATTAAGCTGGATTTATACTAGAGGTGGGAAACTATCGATAGTAATTATCAATATATCGATAATTTGCTACACTATCGAACTATCGATAGTTCTACTTGCACAATCGATAGCAGTTCTCCTGTCTTTTCTTATGTCAGCAATGTCAAGTGTCATGAAATATCATAAATTTTATCTTTTATTATAAGGCTCGAAAGTTAATAGGTTGTTTGGTTATGGGTAACTTGATGACGTCATCTGGTTTGGAGTGCCTTATGGAGATGTGGAGGCACCCCAGATGGCGCCATAGTTATCAGGAAAGCTACCATCTCTCAAACAACCTTAATGTTTTTATTTTGGTTTTGATGGTATAGTAGTTGAAAGCAAAATTAAAAAAGATGAAGATTAGTTATGTTTCCTATTATCATCAGTTAACAACAACAACCTACACAACTCGACCACACTGTGTTTCACTTGTTTATTTCTGTTCTTCACTTCCAGTTTGAAGAAAAAAGAACGTGTGTAATTAAACATATTGTTAATTGTTATTCACAATATTAACTTTCATTTGGGTATTTTTTTTCTCTAGGTCTCGTTGTGTTTGTATTGTAGGGCGTAGGCCGTAGGGTTGGGGGCCTTCATTTCAGACCTTCATGTGCACACTATACTGTTGGAGTTCATTAACATTAACATTTTGGCTTGCCCTGACCTGCTAATTGTTGAAACCCCATATACTTTTTTATCGATAGTTATATCGATACATCGATAGTTTTTATTCGTTACTATCGATATATCGATAGTTAGATTCTTCGATAGTTTCCCACCTCTAATTTATACAGCAAATAAAATAAAATAAGATAAAATAACAAATAAGAAATAACAGTTAACCTAATGAGATACCCTTAAAGTGGTTATACAGAAAATAACAAATAAAATAAGAAATGCTTTTTAGCTATGAATTTGATATTTTATCTTATGTTATCTTATTTTATTTTATTTGCTGTATAAATCCACGTTAACGCGTGTGTTTCTTCTTAGCTGATTTTATCTATATCCCACTGATTTGCTTTCAAAATAGTGCACCAATCTGAAAAATCTCTAGACATCGATGTTTTCTTTTATGTTTGACATAAATTTGAGCATGGAAAAGGTACCTACCTTACCCTTACCTACCTACTGCATCATAACTTGGGTAGGTAGTATTAGTTTTTGATTTTTTTTTCCAGATAGCTTAACTCATTTGCTGCTAAGAGACAAAATGTTTCATCCATAAATCCTATACAAGTTTGGACTATTATTGTTTTGAAAGAATATGTGAGTGCGAGAGAGAAAGGCAGATCTCTTAGAAGTGGCAGGCAATATAGTACAACCAAAGTCTAGTCAGTGGCGCACAGTTTGAATGAAAGGAAATCTTTCAATATCGTAAAATGTATAATTTGGGGTAGGTAATTTAAATAATGTTTTTTTTTTATCAAAACAAAGTACCTACCGACTGCCTTTTCATAATGATTCTAATCGGTTATTAATAATACCTACCTAGTTATAGGAGGTATCGATTTTTTATACTTTGTTAACAATTAGTCCAAGAAACGGGGATCTGAAAAGAGGGTTTACCTCGAGGGGTCCACCACTCTGTAAAAATGTGTACACGTATTGCGAAAATGTCGGTATTTCGTAAGTATTTCGCGAAATTCAAAGTATTTCGGTGGTGGTAATTCGAACCTAGTTTTTTGTGGTATTGCCGTACTTCGAAGTATTTGGAGGTAATTCGAAGTATTTCGAGGTAATTCGAAGTATTTCGTGGTAATTCGAAGTATTGCGCGGTAAGCTGAGGTATTTCAAGCTATTTAAAAGTAGTTTTTATTTATTTACTGAGAGCAATTAATTCCTTATCACCTAAAATTGGAATATTATAGAATGAAAACTATAGTCCATCTTCGAACAAGCTAAATATGTTGACATAATTAGGAGATACTGCAGATTAATTGAAACAAATGGAGAGATATACTACCTGATATGTATAAGTGATCAACTAACCAGTGTGTGTCAGTTAGTTAATAGTACTGGGTCATACAACGAGGACTGAACAGGGAATTATTTCTGACTCCCTGTATTTTTGAGAAAATTTAAAATAGCCATTTGGAACATTTTTTTTCTGGAGAACTCAAAAATAATGGTACCAAAAAATCATTTGAACCAAAAACCAAAGAATTACGCCCATGGATGAGCTGTTTTTTAAATGGAACACCCTGTTTTTTGTATGATTTTTGGAGAAGTCTCATAGAATGAAAACTATAGTCCATCTTCGAACAAGCTAAATATGTTGACATAATTAGGAGATACTGCAGATTAATTGAAACAAATGGAGAGATATACTACCTGATATGTATAAGTGATCAACTAACCAGTGTGTGTCAGTTAGTTAATAGTACTGGGTCATTCAACGAGGACTGAACAGGGAATTATTTCTGACTCCCTGTATTTTTGAGAAAATTTAAAATAGCCATTTGGAACATTTTTTTTCTGGAGAACTCAAAAATAATGGTACCAAAAAATCATTTGAACCAAAAACCAAAGAATTACGCCCATGGATGAGCTGTTTTTTAAATGGAACACCCTGTTTTTTGTATGATTTTTGGAGAAGTCTAATTTTTTTTACATGTATCTATTAAAAATATGTGATGTTCCGATAGCTGTTTTTATTTTATTTTAATGTTTTATTCTTATTAATTTTGCCAATACATGGCAAGAAAATTCAAAGATTTCATCACCTATGAACAGTGGCGTAGCCAGAGGCGGCAAGGGGGCATTTGCCCCCCCCCCCAAGACCTTTAAATTTCTTAAATAATTCTTCAAAATTAAAATAAACAGTCCCAAAAATAGCGGAAAGAAGCCTAAAAAAGGGCTTTGCACCCGCCGCTTTGCCTCTGTCAGCGGTCGCGGAGGGACCGCAAGAAACACTTCCTTTTTTGCTATAAAAAACTCAGCGACAACACCCTTCTATCTTCTATAGTTTTTTTTCTGCAGCGTCTTGAATACTAGCATGTTTTTATTCAAGGTCACTGAATCAACGTTTCACCTGTTTGCGCGCATTTGATGCAGCAGCGGCCAAATGCATAATACGATTTCAATTTTTCAAACACCACATTATTGCTAATGAAATGCGCTCTCCAATGCTTTTTTGTTCGAATTTTTTGCTTGAAAATTAAGCGAGCACGGACTTGCCTAATGTGCGAGGAAGTTGTAAATTGCACCGAAAACTACCCCTTTCTTGCATCCACTGTAATTTCTAAACGGGGCCAAATATTTGGTGATAGTTTTCGACAATCGGCAGCCCATTTATTCCTCTCATATTGCCCGAGCGGATTTTTTTTTTTTCGTTAATTACTCAATGACTTATTGGCCTGAACACGTCGCGCGGAATTTTTCAAAAAGTCAAAAAAAATTAAGATTGTCGCACAGCGCTGAAATTTGGTATGATGGCTTCATTTATTGTTCTCATGAATATACTGCAATTCTAATTGTTGCAGCAGTCATGTGAAGTCGAGTTTTTATTGAAATTTTTGTCTTACATTAAGGGCCGGTTTATTCACTTCCTGATAAAGTGTCAGGTATGCAATCTG